AGTACAAGTTGGGAGGTTTAGAGAAGAAAATAGAGACTAGAATTTACAAAACGCTTCTCGAATCTGCCCCATTGCCATCTCTACACATGGGAGAGGACCCCTTATACATTTATTTGAAAACCAGGATGGAAAGGGGGACAGTTAGATGTATTTGGTAGCTGGATGTTCCCCTAGGTCAAGCCATGACAGGAACTGAATAACTGAAAAACAATAAACGAAGAAAAGTTCAGCATATTATCTTTTCAAGCAGTTGAACCATTTCTGATCCAAGAAATTGACATGTTCTTCAAGTTCGTACTTGCTTTTCAGTATCTCGCATTGAAGTCCATTTAATTAGTTCAACTGCTGAGAACTAAATCTTCCATGGGTCCTTTTCATTCTTCTACTTTTATATATAAAATAAAACAGAAGAATTGTTGGAATAATATTGGTTAGTAGACAACCTTGAATTGTAGGTATTGATTTCAAATATTTAGGCCCCGTTTGGTTAATGGGAATAGGGGTTTGAAATCGGAATCGGAATGAGCTTTTCAGATTCCAACTATTTGATTGGATGGAATCGAAATCCCATTTTTATTTTTGTTAGAATGGCATTCTCCCATTTGAGGGAATGGTTATTCCCTGTCCCTTCTGTAGAAATGAAATCTCATTACTGCTGATTTCAATTCCCATTCTCATTCCTGTCTGAACCACACAGACTATGGGAATGAGCCATTCCAATTCCGATTCCAATAGATTTCAATTCTAATTTCAATTCCAATTCCCACTGCAAATCAAATGGACCCTTAGCTTTAAACCTTGGTCTGCACTATTTTCATCCTCATCAGCCTGCATTCTGGATTACAAGGTTTCGTTTGGTTTAATTTTCCTCATCCGCCTGCATTGGACAGGCCTCCCCCAGTGAGTATTGACCCTTTTGTATTTGCATTGTAATGTAAATAATCTAGCTACCTTGTGAAATTAATTTGGGTGTAAATTCTGATTTAATTTTGTATCAATTTTTATCTTATTTTGTTTTATTGCAGTAGAAATGAAGTAAAATAAGATCTGAAACAGAATAAAGTAAAACCCAAAATAAAATTAAACCAAAACTTGCACTCTTTTAATTTACATTCCCATGCATTTGTACTAGTGCAAATAAAATTGCTTTACAATCAAATACATGAAAATTTCCTTGCCATTCAAAGACATATAAACAATAAACAGGTTTGAAACCTGTTTTGAAATGCATCTTATATATGTACTAAAGGCTTTGGAAGGACTACAAATACAAATATATAAAGAACAAATACATACAAAATAATACAAAATA